TTCCAACCCTAACCATTCTACGATTCTATGGTTCTATACTCAGCTTTCATGAAATGCTACACATGTTGACAAGTGCTTGTCTTTGCAGTGAGGATACACAACCAGGGACAAACACAATGGGAAAATAAGATATTGGTTCCTCTGCTTTTCACAAACAAGTGATTAACCGTACTCGACTTTTGGGGAATGAAGGAGAATACAGAACAGGGGAAATGCACATCTGTATTCTATACTGAAAACTGAAATTACAACCCAATTGAGTAAAACCTTAAGGCATCTGTAACATGCATTCTGGAAGATGCTTCATGTAAGACAAATGGAGGCTTTGAACATTTTCCTTATGGATGACAACATGCTATTAAAGGCAAAAAAGTGATGGACATGGCAGAGCCCTTTGCCGATACCTAACTGAGCCCCTTCTGCAAAGGCAGAATAATGCCACTTACAAGGGCCTGAACTGTCATGTTGGCCTTAAGTGAGCAAGATGTGAATAAGAAACCCCTAATCCTTGGAGACAGGAGAGACGTAACTAATTTAGTTTTAAAACAAATACATACTATAAACAATACACCCAAAGCAAAATGGGATAGTAAAAATCCTAGTGAAAATGCTTTATAATTCTGCAACATCACCATTACCAAGCTCTAATGGTGAGCAATACTCACCTTAACAGGGTCCTACACAACAAGTGACACAGGTTTTCATGTTAATCGATAGAGGCCTCTTTGAACTGAACCAAAACGTCATTTCATAACCTTCCAATGGGCATATCATTACATCCCAAAACCCCAACACACCTCTCCTTTCAGAGAAAGGAGCAAAAGAGGTGCAAGTCATTTGATGGCTTTCATATTTTGTTGTTTTTTTTTTTAATTTCTGCAGTTGTAAAAATAACAAAAAAAAAAGGAGTATATATTTTTTCCAGGTAAAGTTAAGGAAAATAAAATATACTCGACAATGAATGCCCAACTGACTGTACCACAATTCTCAGAAACGGAGACTTTTTGCACAATTTTGAGCGTGGTTAGCTTACCGTATGTTCAGACTTGGTTGCCAGGTACTGGTATAAAACATAGAGAGAAAGAAGCTGTGTTGAGAATTCATCAAAACTTTCTTGCAGCATGATCTCTGTTACTACTGACATAGCATCTATGGAGGAAAACAACACATAATCAGCAAGTGTAAATTTACACAGCTCCCTTTCACACCCACTCAAGTTCACTGATACTTTATTGCTGTAGTATGTTTTGAAGTAGTTATAGAGAAAGTTAAAAGATTTCTTATGACTAGTAGTATAGAACTAGTCTAACTTGGGTTATTCAAACACACTGTGAGAAGAAGAATGGGTTGAATAGCACAAGGCCACAGCCGAGGAGCTTTCCAAATTCATCTTAGCTCTACAGTCTTCAATGGGCTCTTCTTTGCTCAGCCTTTCAATCATTAACATTTTTTACAAAATCTTTAAAAATTATGTATTTGTTTCTATGTTTAGATTACAAACAAGAGAATGCTGGCTTAAATTCACTGCCCTTAAGGTGACAGGAGAGTACAATGGAGCTGAAATGTTGTCACAGATCACCCACAGCACTCACTGTATTTCAGCAAACAGTGTTCTGGAGGAGCTCCACAGGGAGTTCCAGTGACACCCCCTGTCAGAAGGACAGTTTGTTAAACAAAAGGCCTTGAGCCTGTCACAGAAAAGAAACATGGATGGATGGAACAGGGGGAAATTCACAGACAGAGAGGCTCTCAAAATAAAATAAATACATGTTTTAATTTGCCATTTAGCAAAACCTTCATGATAAAAGCTACAGACCAGTCCTGCAATGCTATTGTCCCTTTCAGTTATTTGTTTTACAAGAGGCTTATGCAAAGAAAAGCTCACTGCAAATCTACAGTATCACAAAACTTGCAGAGAAATGAAAATCTTAAACATTTGTCATCAAACATGATAGGATTATTCATTTCAACACTTAAACAGTCAACAGTGAAAGACAGGCACCTCAACATGGCAATTCAGCATAGCTGGCTCTCTCCAGTGACAGACAGAAAGTCTAGACAGTTCAGATATTCTTGTAACACTCTAATTGTCATCAATAACTCCTATGATGTTTTTAGTGTATAAGTCAGACTTGTAAAAACTGGAGAACTTGGTCTACATTTGGAATGGGATTAATCACAGTAGAAACTGTGAATTGCATGTGTTTCAAAATTATATAATGAATAAAAACTCAACAGAAATGATATATAAATATGCTGTAAAGTAGTTTAAAGGAAGGAGAACGCATGTTTTTAAAGTGACTTCAGAGAAAATATGGCTATTAGTTTTTAATTCAAAGAAAGGCTCTGTAGATTTAAAAGCATACAACTAAGCATGTAGAATTGGTAAGTATTTTCTTACCTTCATATTTCTTCTGTTTTATAAAACAATCCAACAAAATATTGAATGTGAAATTATCTGGGAAAATCCCGTACTGAACCTGAAAAGAAGGAGAAAAAAAAAATCAGTGTGAAAATCTGCTGTTCAAATCTTCCCAAGCATAGCATTTGGTATCAAAAAGATCAGATACCAAACATTGGTTATTTACTATTAGATACCAAACATTGCAGACTGCTGCAATGTGACAGTCAGTCAAGCAACACAAGGAGATTAGCACAGTTCCTGTGATGTAGGCCTTCTAACTTTTGATGTACTGGATTTGTTTTGGCATTTGGGACCAGGAGGGGGGATCTCCTATCAGGTTTTTACGCCTCTCCTGCATCTAGCATGTTTTGGACACCAGCACTGTTCAAAACCAAAAAGCTTCCTGGGAAACAAGAGGAAATAAAAGCTGTAAAGTGCTTTAGTTAAAATTCAAGTGCAACATTAATTCTTGTTTTGACAAAGAAATATCTGAACTTAAAACCACAGTCTACAGGACTCGGCTGCAACAGGAATTCCAGGTAAACTTCACTTGTCTCAAAAAGCATTAATGGCTTTTCCCTGTAAAAACTTACCTTGTTTTTTAATGTGTATAAGGCTTTGTCTTGTGCACCATATTTTAAGCATTGTCTGATCCAGCTGTGTATGGTCCAGTCTCTCAAGTACCAGCAATTTGGACTATGCCGAAACCTAAGGGATGATAAACAATGTGACTCTGTTATCACAGAAGCAAATTCTGTCATCAACAAACTATGAGTTTCAGAACTCCCACCTTTCATGATATCTAATCTATCTTTGCAGTCAATCATTGCTCTCCAAAGAGCTCCAGCTAGCTCATTCAACTAAGAGCAACAAAAATCTGACACATTGTAATAACATGTAGGAAGGGAGAATCTGACCTTTTCACAAATGCATAATATTTTAAACTTAACACTTTCCAGAAAGCCTACTGCTTTTCCTCTGAAAAGATGAGCATCATAACATAACAGCTTGGTGTATTTATGAAAGCCAAACAAACAAAAACTGTAGTACTTTTAATCTTGACCTTCTGATTGTGTAACATTGCATTCCTGTTGGCCTCGTCAAAGAACAACGCAGCTCCATGACTGATGACATCAGCAAGTATCAGAATCACATCAAAACACAGCTGGGTCTGAAACTTTGGAGCTTGTATAATCTGGTGTCTCCCACCCTCTCCAACTCATGCCTCGCTTCAATCACTTAAGAATTCATTGTGCCTCCGTACAAGCCATCCCTGGGTTGCAGCATGCTTCATGTGCATTTAGAAATGCTTCATCTATGAGGCATGCCTCATGCAAGAGGAAGCTCTGCTGGAGAGGTCTCCTCTGCCTCCCTGCAACAGCTGCCTTGTTCCAGATGGACGTTTTGTTAACCTGTTCTTAGATACCTCATGCCATGGCTTCAGTAGTCTTCCCAGGCAACCTACTCCAGTGTCCAACCGACTTGTAAAATTAAATACTTTTAAGTTCACTCTCTTTTATTTCATTCTTATTCAGAGATAGACACTTTGCTCTGTACTTGGAGAAGTGGTGACAAAAACCATATGGAGCTTTACCTTTGGCAAAGACTCAAAAACCAATTAAGAGCTCAGTGGCAGGAGCTGCTGCCTTGGTCCTGGGCTGAATTTCACACCCCAGTGTGAAGAGAGGGACACAACCTTTCTCAATTCAAATTGTGTGCATGAAAAATGGTCTCAGTCCCCAGCACAGAAGTGACTGCCACTTCCTGTAGAAAACAACGATGACTGAGCTGGGCTCATGTGCAGATGCTTGCAGCCTCAAGCCAAGCTGCAGCACCATTTAGAGGCAAGGTTGGCTCTTCCATCCGAGTGAGCATGCTTTCCAGAACATTTATCAGATTAACGTGGCCACCAACTCTCTTTCCCCCTCAGTGAACCTCTGCGAATTGCATCCCACGGCTGAGGGCTACACAGATGACGAAGCCTGGAAAAGTACTGCAGTCTAGAGAGCCTTCAGAACGCAGAAGACATCCGTGCCAACAGCGGAGCTAAACAACTACACAAAGCCTAAATATATGGTGTTGTAAGTGGCACATGAAATCTCCCCATTAAATTAGAATTTAACAGAAAAAGAAAAGCATGTTTTGAATATTAAATTACAAACATCCATTTTATTGCTCTAATTGCTTTCCATTTTCTTCCCTCTGGAGTTCAAATATTGGGAACAGCAAGAATGTGTATTTGCTTTCATTAAAGTCCTGTTTCAATAATGCTTACAGGAAGCATCAATTACAGGCATTTGGATTTAAGCATATTTTTATGAAACAATTACCTAATTGCTACAGATTGTTTCACTAGCCATTTAAGATGGGTCAGAGTGCAATACCAGCACCGAGCAATAAAGCTGCCAGCATCTTTTAAAGTTGCTTCATTAAATGGTTAATATTGTTTCACAAGTGGAAAACAACAGATTTGTCTTATAAAAACATGACACTGATGCTCTCCAAGACTTAGCCTTCCATTTTGATACAATCTTTGGCATCCTTCCTACAAATTAGTTACGCAGGAGGGAAGCAAACATTTAAAAAACCCCAAAGCAACCCAACGGTTGGTTTTAATGGGTCTGAATATTCAACTTTTTCCAGAGTTGTATTTACACTCTTGAGTACATCACAGTGAGAGAGAGCACTCCCATACCGCCTGTGCCTTGGGAATGCTACAGCGGGCTGTAATAGCAAAATGCTTCTAGGTTTCGAAGTCAAATTGCACTCGGACAGTTAAAGGCCTAACAAGGATGTGATGTGGTTTACAGACAGGATGAAACTGATCCTCAATCAATGCAAGCTTCTGGAATCAATGTCCACAAAATTCAAAGGCATATTATAAAATCTCTTTTAAAAAAATCTTTGCATGAGCTTTGTAGGGCTGGGATTGATTTAAGTGTGTTTGTGTGCGTGTGTGTGTGTGTGTGTGTGTGTGGACAACCACAGGATCTACCAGATTTAATTACTGTATGTTACTATTTAGATCTTCACACTCGGCCAAGGTCTCCACTGCGCTACATATTATGAAAATAAAAAGCAAACAGCTTCTAAGCCAAAGAATCTTCTAGTTAATTCTAATAATTAATTACAAGACAGTTGCCTGGGAATGAAGAGAGGGGACTGGTGCCAAAATTTTTCTGTCTCCATGTCAACAAGAATGCAATACATATGCATGTACACAATCCCTCAACATTACACACTTCCATTGATCCATGATAGAAGGACAATTGCAAGTGAAAAGGAAACAGGTAACACTGCAATCTTTAATTGTTTCTGCTGCAGAGAATGCTGGGATGAGCTCTATCTCTATGATACTAGCTGAGAAGAGAAGCCAACAGTTTTCTGTTTTTACAGCTAACCTAGACAAACTAACCAAATGTGGCAGACATTTTTATATGAAAAGGAATGGGGGAAAAAGAGGAGATTTCTGGTCATTCTGACAAGCATTAACATCTTCCTCCTTCTCATTCTTCATAAAAGACAAAACAGGATATAATTAAGCAAGGCAATATGTTCAGGGACAGATGAAAAGACAGAAGGAAGCTACAACTACAGAACGCAGAGGATTCAGACTGAATTAAGTAAAGGAGGCCTCTAGCAATTGCTGTGTGTTTAATGGAAAGACCAGGAGGTTATCTTGCAGATGTCTGCTGCTGAAACTCATTTTTCTGAGAACTAATGAAAACCTGAGAAGCACAAGATTCTTATAATGCGTTCAGAAAAGACAAGGAGAAACATCCATAACAGTATTAGGGGAGCTCCCTGTTGGTACACTTTAATGTTAATGGCTAAAGAATCAATATGGTCATCCTCCTAGTCACTGAACTGAGAACATCTGTCACCATGGGGAACAAGAGGAAGAGTATCTGTAAGACAAGGCGTTCCTGAAATGTCAAGGTCATTGTGACTCTTAACAGCACACCGTGCAGTGGTACTAGAATTTCCCTTATTTGGGAAAATCGTTCAATTGATGCAGTCCAGAAACTCAATTTTCATTAAACCATTGCTTTGTACTTGCAAAATTATTATTATAACTTGGAAGGGATACAGCGAGTGTACAGCCTCGGTACAAGGCAACCAGAACATTTTTAGCCAAGTAAGTGCCCACTCTCTCTTGCTCATAAACTGGCCAGCATATTGGGCTAAGAATACATTTTTAGATTACTAACTTACTGTACATTACAACATTCCTATTGCTCATTATTTACAGCAGTGCTGAAGTACTTATACTGTGTTAAAAAAAATGGACAATGGAAAAATTTATCAGATGCTGAGAGTGCTTTATGGAGTGCTCTATCAATACAGCAAGCATGACTTAATTCTACTGGTGCCATCTCACGCTGCAGAAAAGCCAAGTTGCTTCCCTTTTTATTTATTTATTTTAAATGGTCTTTCAGATTTGTTTGGTGCCATCAAGTGGTAATACACTCTCTGGAAGTAATTCAACAATCCTGAGAGCAAACAGACGCTCCGAGATGCTAGACTGTGTACTCTTTTCCCTATGTCTGACACAGGGGCGTTCACTACTTTGGGGACAGTCACAAACAAGGAAGACGGTGAAGGAAAACTTACTGGATTACAGAACAGCAAGTGCTGCAGAAGTAATACACTACCAGGAACAGTTCTGCTGTACAGAGGGAATGCCAACTCAGCAGATCTGTTCTAATTCATAGCTAAGCTGATCAGAAGCTCCCACTTTGCATGCTGTGGCTTTCTTAAGGGTGGCTCCAATGCCTGATACTGCCAGAGGCTATCCTTGTGCAATATACTCTTTTTTCTTTTTCTCCTACCTGTGAATGAGGAAGAAGAGTCCCCTTCCATTCTCCAACTGCGTCTGACCTAACAAGGAAGTATTTTGTAATGATCTACACATCCAGTGTAAAAAACTGTAATACCTCTGAGGCTCCAGATTTCTTCAATACTTTCTAAATTTCAGCTGCATTTTGCTTTGCTAACTTTGCATTATCATATGTAAAAACATCTTAAATAAAACCTCTTGTACAGTTATGTTCTTCTCTGTTCTTATGTTTTAGAGATTTCTATATCATCTTCTGCCATATTGCAAAGAAGTGGTTAAATTAACAACAGAAGGACACTGAGCAATCTCCATTCTTTCATTATTTCTAATATAGATCATTTAGGTGTGTTTTCCTGGTCTCTTTAGAGTTAAAACCAGAAAGGTTTCATATGCTGATAGTCCACTTGTAGGAAAGGAAGGAACTTATCTAGTGGTAGTCACTATAACAAATTTCTTCCACCTATACTTCAGATCTCTCTCACATCTTTTAGAACTACAGACATGGAGTTGCATGTTCATTTGCTTTAATCAGAAGGGGAGCATGCCAGATGTCTTCTCATCCACTTAAAATTCTAAAAAGTCCTGCAGCAAAATGTAAGGAGACTTAAAATGAGTAAATATAACAAGAAATGTCTCTGTGAGCCAGGAAGAAGCTCTCTCAATGGAATGAATCCAGAGCCACTCCACATTTTACACAAATCATACAAGGCTGTGAAGCTTCTTGGCAATGCCATGCTTTTTTTCTTCCCAGGCACATTTTTTTAAGCTACAGTGCATAATGATCAAATGGATTCCAAGCAGGCTTAGCTTAGAAACTGGAAGGCTAAGGAAACGTCACCCAAAAGTGTCCCTTTGTTTGTCATTTCAA